CCTTCTAGAAGATAAAATCGTGTCATTTAAGTCAGAATTACTATCTTTCGAGTAAATAGATGCATTGGGTTTGTTTCTTTTATTATATAAATTAGCCATTTATTACATAAATTTCTACATTTCGATATTATAATGTTATTCTGTCGTATACAACTTTAATGTGGATTGAAAAATTTAGTGATGAGACCAATATTGCTGTTGATTTTTCTTTAATGGAAATTTGAATAACTATTATTTATTATAACTTGGAAGCGATAATAATTGATAATATCAATGCGAATTTTGCAAAAACAACTGTATGTCTGAAAAAGAACATTGTTCGTGTGCAACCTTCACAAAGCAATAATTATTTCACTGATTCATAAATTCAGAATTTGAATTGCATTAGGCCTGTTCTATTTAGCTAAATTTTTGCACTGGTTCATCTTTCTTCCTTATATCTTCAGGAGGAAAGAAGAAGAAGAAAAATGAACTGATGCAAAAGTTTAACCAAAAAGAACAGGCCTATTGTTAAATTTGTAGTGTCAAATTTGATCTGATTTAAATTGCTGTTCCTCAATATTGTCGTTATTTTATACTAATACGAGAGAGAGAGAAGTCATTATACAATTTAAAAATTGAATTATGTTCGATATGTTATAGATTTATCTGTTAAATTTAACTCAATTTGAACTGTTTTCCAATTGAATCTAACTGAATCCAATTGAATAAAAAAAAAATTTTTTCGCTCTTCAAAATATATATTTTTATGAATAAAATTTCAATCCATTTCAATCTGTTCTTGTTTATTGGGAACATATTTGGAAAATTATGTTTTTCCCGTTTTGTACATTTTTATTTATAGCACGTTCAACAACCTTTAAAAAGTAATAGGCCTAAAAAAATCTAACGTATACGTATAAATTATGTGTGTATATGTATAACTTTATTAATACAATTGTTAATACAATTTATTCCTACAATATTGGCCCTGTATTAATTCCATATATCCTGAATATTTAATCAGTTATTGTTGATACATCGCTACTAGGAGATAGGGTAACTCCGGTATATACGCCGCACCTATCAAAAATTTAATTTATTAAGTATTATTTATTATGTTTATAGTATCTTTATAGTATCTTCGAAGAGCTTATTCTAGTATTATTGTTCTCTTACTACTTAGTAACTGTATTCAGATTTTGAACTTCTTTATTGTGCAGTAACTGCGAGAAAAGCGTTACATTGTGAT